ATTTACCCAAGAGAAAAGAAAGCATATGCCTAGACAAAGACTCACGCATGAATATTCATAGAAGCCGTATTTTTAAGAACCTAAAACTGGAAATTATCTAAATGTCAGTCAACAGGCAATGGATTGTCTTAGTCTGTTGTGTGTTGCTATAAGAATACCTGAGGCTGGGTAATTTAAAATGAAAAAAAGGTTATTTGGCTCATGGTTCTGTAGGCTGTACAAGAAGCATGGTGTCAGCAACTGCTTGGTTTCTGGAGGATCTCAGACTGCTTCTACTAATGGTGGAAGGAGCAGGAATGTGCAGATATCATATGGTGAGAAAGGATGCAAGGTGAAAAAGCAGGCAGGTGCCAGACTCTTTTTAACAATCAGCTTATTGAGAACTCACCCCCAAGGGAAGGTGTTAATCTATTCATGAGGGATCCACTGCCATGACCCAAACACCTCCCATTAGAACTCCCTCTAATACAGAAGATCAAAGTTCAACCTGAGATTTGATGGGGACAAACAAACCATGTCCAATTTGTAGCAGAGATAAACAAATTGGTACCTCCAATTTGCAGAATAATGGGAAATTATTCTGCAACAAAAATGAGTTATTGATACACACTACAAAATGGATAAATTTCAAAACAATTTTTCTGAGTGAAGGAAACCAGTAAAAAAAGGGTACATTCTGTATGTCTCCATTTATAAAAACCTCAAGGAATGCTTGAGGGGTGTGGGCAGGTCTGGAGAGGCAGGTGGGGGAATTCCTAAGGAGCATGAGTAATTTTTGAGGGTGGTAGATAGGCTCATTATCCTGATTGTGGTGGTAGCTTCACATGCGTATACATATTTCAAAACTCATTGACTTGCATACTTTAAATGTGTCAATTTTGCCTTAGTAAAACTGAAAGAGAAAGAAGGGAGAGGCAAAACAAAGAATTTTGAGATAAAATTTCTTACCTATTAGAGTGGTAAAAAAATCAACCTATTTCCTAGAACAGCCACAAATCTTTATTTAAATAGAGGTAGATTTACAGTTCTATATTGTTCTCACCTTAACAATAAACAAAGACATCTACCTCAAATCACTTGAAATGTTCATTTAAAACACAACTGACATAGTAATAACCTTGATTCATTAATGATTTGAAAGTTTTGTCATCAAGAGAAGAATCTTTTGAAAGTCATCTTACAATGTTAATATTTATAGATACCAGAAATATGAACAAATGTATGTTTCCAGGAAAAGTAACAGTATATTACACTAAGTATTAAAAGAACAACTGGATTTACATAATTTGACGCAACCTAAGACACTGCTTGCTTTCCTCAACTTGTCAAATACAACATCTTTTAGCTACTTTAAGGTCACTTTGTAAAGCTGACTTCCTATATAGCGGGCTATGATTTGATGTTACAAATTGAAAACCAAAAAGTGCTTTCATATCTTTGGCACTTAAAATAATAATTCTTTAATAAAGTCATCACTAAATTATTACTTTAAAGTTAAACGTCTTATGGGATTTTATAATAAGCCTAGTTTTGCACACTGAGTAAAATACTTCATATATATTCTAGAGCTAATGAATCCACACCCATAGTCTTACTTTTAGATGTACCACGCCACATAACCAATGACATTACACATTTTAAATTGCTCATTTGTATGTGTTTAGATTCTCAGAAATAGTTCAGAGGGAGCAGTCCTGATTCAATTTAGGCCAACCCTTCTTGCAATAGAATTTTTATTTCCTAAACAATTTCAAATGAGATAATTTATATGCACTAGCTATTCTGTCAGAAGATGTTAAAATGCAACCAAAGCCATCGTTTAAATAACATTCTAATTCTCCAGCAGGCCCAAGGAATAGATAGGGTTGAGATTAATGGGGACTACCTGGAACGTGAGAGTGGATGTAAATTAACTCTTACTGGATTACCCCATAAGGTTCCTGTTTTAAAGTAAACACATATTCTTTCATCACTTAACATCTGGAGCTCCTTGAATCTCCCTGAATCTCAATTTCTTAATTTCTAAATTGTTAATAATAATAATAGGAAGAAAATTATCAATATAACAATGATGATGCCAGACGTCACCCTCATGGGCTGCTCTATGGATTCAGAGGGACAGGGAATTTTAACCACATGCTACTATTCCTGGAGATCAGTCTGTTTGTTTTATTTCAAATGATATTGGTTGAGAGCCATTTTGATGTCTGAAATTTTGTTCAAGAGACCAATAAAATCCAGTCCTTTCTTTAGGAATGCGCAGTTTACTAAGGAAGTCCACAAGTCAAAGTAGATTTAGGGAATAGTGCAGTAAAGGCAAATAAAGAACCACCATGACACAAAGGCAGACAGAGCGTGGTTAATTCTGCTTGGTAGTCAAGAAATCTTCAAAGAATTGAAAAGATTTTCTCATCTCTGTCTTCTCCACCAAAACTAAAAGTAATTATTTAAAAGGGGCAACTGAGATCCACCTGCAATTTGGTTCCTCATGGTTCACAGCAGATCCATTCTGCTGAGTTCTATGCTCTATGAGCTCCTTGACTTAAAAGGGACTGTGCTGTGGAAGAAGGCAGCAGTGTGTGTATGTATACACACACTGCTGCCTTCTTCTGGTTTATATATACATATATATATATACATATATATATATACACATATATACATATATATACACATTTATATATACATATACATATATATATACATATATACATTTATATATACATATACATACATATATATATATGTATATGTATATATAAATCAGAAACAGAAGCAGAACCAGTTCCTTCAAGCCCCAGGGCTCCCAACCTCGTCAAATGAAAATTGGAAGGGGATCGATTCTGAACTCCAGGAAGCGAATTGGAGCCCTGGGCAGAAATCCTAAATGTGGTGGGTAATTGGCATCTTGTCCTTTTCAGTGTAGATACTGCCCATGGGAGGGTTACCTCTAGGGTGCTGGTTGATTAGCATCCTTGAAGGACAGGGCAGTTAAGTAGAGATTGGAGCCCTGAAGACTCCCATGTCCCAAATTCAAGGGTCCCCACCAACCAGAGAAAAATTATTTTCATGTGGTCCTGTGAGAGATACTCTTTAAGCAACAGAATCATAAACAGCTCCATTAAATGAAGTAAAACTTCATTACTAGGTTTTCTTAGCTTTAAAAAAAGCAACATAAGATTAAATTATCATCAGAGTTAGATAATACATTTTTAATTGAAACCAAACTAATTTGATTTGCCTTTGTCTAATATTTCTTAAAGAGAAATTCTCTTTCTGAAAACTATAAATTTGACGGCTATGTCCAGTTTGTCTAGGATGAAGTGAAATGAACTACACTGAGACGAGAGATGTTAACATTTTATGAACAAAAATAATTGCACAGTGAGGTTCCAGATATATACCTTGTAAGAGAATCAGTTGTTCTTAGCTAGTGATGGGATTTGGATCTGCATCTCCAACCAAATCTCATGTTGAATTATAATGCCCAATGTTGGAGGCAGAGGCCTGGTGGAAGATGATTGAATCATGGAGGATGTTTCCCATGAATGATTTAGCACCGTCATCTTGATGCCTTGGTGCTGTTCTCATGATGGTGAATGAGTTCTCAGGAGATCTGGTTGCTAAAAAGTGTGTAGCATCGGCCCTCTCTCTCTGTTGCTCCTGCTCCTACTGTGTGAGATGTCTGGCTACCTTTTTGCCTTTTGCCATAATTGGAAGCTTCCTGAGGCCTCCCAAGAAGCAGAAGCCTCTATGCTTCCTGTACTGCCTACAGAACCACGAGCCAATTAAATCTCTTTTCTTTGTAGATTACCCAGTCTCAGGGATTTCTTTATAGCAGTGTGAGAATGAACTAATACAGCTAGCAATGCTGGGAGTGGTAGAACAGAACTGTTGAATCCAAAAAGAAATAGAGAAATTAAAGAACAAAGTCCCCTGGCCCACAGGGTACGCCAGTGGAATGCTATCAATTTTGAATAACCATGCTCCTGCACACTTTCAGGTACTTAATCATTTTCACATCCCCAAAATCTTATTTGAAGCAGACTAGTTAAGCCTCATTATCTTCATTCTAGAGATGAAAAAAAAGGGTTCGAGAGTTTAAATGACTTGGCTATCATCAAACAGCTTAGAGATGGCAAATTTTGGCCTCATTACAAGTTTTTTGATTCCTAGTCCTGTAATTTTTCTCCATACTACAATGCCTCTACATTAGAGCTGGAAAGATTTTTCCAGAAATGTCTCTGGTGGAGTCCAGAGTATCTTCAACCTGAATCAAAGGAGATTGGGGGAAATATAGATAGCTAAATTTTTCTTTTTAAAGACAAACCCTCAAAGTTATATACAAGTAGAGAACTGGTATAATACCCATCGCTTCTGTGAACTTAGCTCCAGCACCTCTCAGCAACCCACAGTTTCACCCGAGGCCTAGGGAGGGACTCAGTGTTGCTCAGGTAGAAAGGACCCAGCTTTCCCAGGACATAATGGAGCTCACAGCGTAAGAAGACTTCAAGTGTCAGAGCTAGACATGTCATGAGCTGACTTGAAAGAGAATAAAACTAGGTATATCTGGAATAGGCTGTGATTTAAACCCAAGTCTAGCTAAACCAAATAATGTGTTGTAACTGATGTATATCATTCATGTGTGAATTCCAGGGTTTCCTCATATACAAGCTGACACTTTAAAAAAATAGCCCAGGATGTCTACAGTATTGTAGGAGCAGTGTGCCGTTTATCACACGTCAAAATGAGAAAGGCCATGCCATATCATATGTAACTTTTCCAAAGCCTCAGTAAAATCCCATAGTTACCACCCCACCCCACTTATATCAGTCTTCTTCTTAGAAAACAACTTTCTATGTTTTATTTCTAAAATCTTTACTAGTAAAATGTGAAAACTAAACAATATCAAGAAAACCTCAATATTAATTCAAGAAGTCAGTTTCATTACCAATAATGATTTTTTAAAACAAAGAATTCATACAAACTACATTTCTTACCGATATTTTGTTTTCTTGTGTATCCGACTCTAAACTTCCAGACGTCATGCTGAAATAAAGTAAAAGTTTAGAATTCCAAAATTTTATTTCAGGCACGCATGTGCGCACACACCCCCCAGCACCTACGTTGAATAGATGATTAGACTGTAACATTTAAAATAAATTTTCTAAAGTATTTCCTCCAAATGTCAATTTCCGGACATTTCTAAAGGAAATAAAAATAATGGAATGTAAACTTTACTTGCAGAAGATAAAATAGCCTTTAAAGGTTCTCTGGAGAATAAGTAGCCTGAACAGTACAATCTGTTCTGAAAACCTGCAAAATCTTGTAATTCAACTAAAAAAAAAGTGGAGAGAGGAAAGCATAACCTAAGAATCCACAGACGTGGAGAATTCATTATCTCCTGCACTGTTCTCTCTCCCTCTCTCTCCTCTCTCTATCTCCTGGATCATTTCCATTAACTTATAAACATGTTGTTATTTATCATGCCTTGAGCCTTACCGCTTTAGTATCCACTTGATTATACTGACCTTTTTTGTAATTCAGTTTACAGCAAAACTATATTCTCACTGTCTCCAATTCCTTCTCTTTTATTTTTATTTTTATTTTTTTGCTAAAGCCATTGCAATTGGCTCACTCTTACTAGTACCACTCCACAGAAATGGCACTTGTCAAATTCACCAAAGATCTCTGCATTCTTATACCCGGTGATTATTTTTCACAACTCACCTTAGCAGGTTTTAACATGACTCATCACTGTCTGAAATACTTTCTTCACTCAGAACATCCCAGAGTCCCAGAACACTTTCTCTAAGTCTATCCACTTGGCTTACTCTTCCTTCCTTCTTGTCTTTGCTCAAATATCATCAGCTCAGTGGGACCTACCATATGTATCTCATTTAAAATTTAACCCCTCACCTCATCACCATACTGTTTTCTCTGTGATAATTATCACATTCTAGCATACTATTGAGTTTTCTTATTTATTATACTTTTTGTGTCATCTCCCAACTGAAAATGTAAACTCCTTGAAGATAGGAAACTTTTTCTGTTGTTTTTGCTACTCCATTCTCAGCATCTTGAAGGATAGGGTGGTCAACAAATATTTGTTAAATGAACTACCTAGTAAACCTTATAGATTGAATATATTTCTTTCTGTTGTTGCCAATTAATAAAGCCTTACTTTTAAATCCCAAGGTACTTTTATTATTTTCTGTCCCACTATCTTCCTCATGAATATATTGTTTTCTTTCCATATTTCCGTGAACATTTCTCTCTTTTACTCACTTTTTAAAAAAATTGAAACCATTTAAAAATGTTCACAAAGTAATCAGTGACTACTGAACAAAATTAAGTTCTCACTTAGTGAAAGGAGACACTGGGGCTCTGAGAGATGTAATTGCTTTTCTCGTGTGACACCCAAATCAGCAGAAAAACAGTATTTAGTTACTTTCTACTTGACAATACCTCTTTATCATGAAATGGAAAACAAACTCCAGGTCACTGCGGTTGCTAGGCAAACCAACAAATGGCTTTAAAGGATCTTAATAAACTGAGCCTTCTAACTAATTTCATCTTCTATGAGTGAAACTCACAAAACGGATGTTTTCCCTCAACTGTACTGCCTATTATTCCAGAGTGCATGCTTATCCTTTTCTTTGTTTCCTCCGGCCAAAGCACTCATACTCTCTTTTCTGTTTGTTGAAATCTTACCATTTCTTCACACCGTAACTCAAATGCTGCCTCCCGCTGAAGACCCTCAGACCCTACAGGTCAGAAATGTTTCTTGCCTTTGTGCTCCACAAGCAGGTTTCAGACATCCCACCTCTTATAGCCCTTATTACGGTTCACGATGTATGTAATGATGTGTGTACCTGTGTTTTGCATTTTCTCAGTAACACCCTCATAGAGGACAAGGGCTGTGCTTTATTTTTTATGCTAGGTAAGGAAGTCATATTCGGTCACTGAATGAAACCAAGCAAAACAAAAGATGTGAGTGCAACAGCCTTATGTGCATAATCAGATGTGCCACAAATGCACCACAGAAAGTACAGTTTGAGGCTACTTAAAAAATAATGCCTGAAACAAAACTGCTGATTTAAAAATCAGAGCTTTGGCTGCCTGACAATTATATTTAAAGATCATGAGTCATGGCCTCAGAGTAACCATGGTAACTCAGCATACACAGGAGAAGTCATGTTGTACAATAATTAAGAGGGGGGAAAAAAAGCTTTAGAAAGCCTATTAGCCTTCAGATAAAAAAATATAATTAACCAATGTGTTTATGAAGTTTGTTTTTATTGCAATGTTTTCTTACTTCAGGGTTCATTGGAAACCTGGAAAAAGGTCTTTAAATTTCTGTTGGCAGGGGCATATCAATCTTACATAGCTTTTTCTCAGTGTGTTATAAGAACATTGAAATTTCCTTCCTTTAAATGAAATTCCTTTCTATCTGCTTTCTAAACTTTTTACTTCATGCTTTTTATGTCAAATTGGAGGACTAATTACTCACCAATTATTCTGTGTGAATAAATGATTTTATTAAAATTGGCTAGGAAATACTGCTATTGAGCACTTAATTTTTATAAAAGAGGATTTCCTGGGAAATTTCTGTTTTGTTCCTTAGATTAATTGGATCCAGGGCCTAACTCTCCCTTACTTAGACAATGTAGGAGCAAGTTCCCACTAAGTTTATGTAAACTGTGGAGAAGGTCTGTCTCAAGGGCATGAGAAGAGGAAAGTAGAAGGGAAAGAAGAAGGGAAGGCAAACAAGACACATGGGACCAGTTCCTGCTTCGAAGTGAAGACGCTGAACTGAAGTTACCTAAAGATCAACAGGAATAGCATGACACTCCCCTGTCTCCTGCCTCAAAAGCCCAGCTTTCTATCTGCACAGAACATTCAGCTCCATACACCAGAAATAAAAAACACTAACAAGAATTTACAGTGAGAGCACAGCCCTGCTTTTCACTTGTTTTTTCTGTTGACCGTACACTGGGCTATTCATTTGAAAGTTGTTCATCACAGGCCCACCCTGCTTTGTTAAGTTTTAAAACCCGGGAAGCAGAGGTTGCAGTGAGCTGAGATCACGCCATCGCACTCCAGCCTGGGCGACAGAGTGAGACTCCGTCTCAAAAACGAACAAACAACAAAAACTTAACTAAGCAGAACCATGGTTGCATGTGAACATCCCATTAAGGATACTGCCTTATAGGATGTAGCTCCCGCTACAGAGATGTGGTCACCTCACACTCAAGATTTAAAACAAAATTTTAAATGGAAGATATTTCCACATTTGAAAGGGAAATGAGTATGGTGTCAACATGTAAAATTTCTACTAATTAAATGCAAATCAATTAGAGAGGGGAGCGGTACTTCCATATTTGCAGCCAGTGTTGATTTAGGTTTTTGTGTGGGCAACCTGTAGAGGAGGAATGACCCAGCTTTCTCTGTGTGCATCTCTTGGGAAGAAAGTGGTAAAGATGACATTTCATTTCAACTGAAAGAAGGCTGGCTTCTTACCCTCCCCATTCCCACATCAGTAAAATGGCTGGGGTAAGTGAGTGTGTGATTTCTGAGAAGACCAAATAAGGGACATTTTACTTGTTCAATAAATATTTATTGAACCCCTGCTGTGTGTTAGGCCCTGCTCTGATCTGGGAAGACAGCAGCTTTCAAAGAAAGGGGGTCACTCTCCAGGAAAGGAATAAAATCTGTTGTTATTCCTCAGACTTTAAAGAAAGATTTTCTTTGAAGTACTGAGTAAAAGCTACTTTATACAGAAATTCCCATGAATTATTTTGGGATGAGAGGAGCTGGGAACTTACCTGCTTCTCTCTGGGGTGTCAGATTCTGAGAACACGGATATCTTGCTATCGCATTGTCCCATCTCACGCCAGGCCCACTGGGATCCCCTGTCCCTGGGAGAGATGTCAACAGGCATCATTCCTTAGAGTTTTAGAATCCCTGCTATTGCTCTGCTGTCCTTTGTTGCTAGGCTACCACAATGGCTGTGGAAAAGACACTTAACTTCCCAAAGAAATAAATCTCGGTTATAAAGCCGCAGTAACCCCTCAAAACATCTCACAAATCAGATCCAGGCACGAGAATAGGTGAAGAATCACCACAAAGTCATCATTTCTGGAAAACTTATTCAAAGTGGAACAGAAACTGGTTTTGTGCTCAAACCCAGGCATGTTTACATCCAGAACCAATGCTAAGGAAACAGCCACTCTGCTGTCTGAGATGACTGCATACCCAGAAACGCATTGGTTTACAAGCAATCAGTGGTTTCATCACAGACCAACCCCTTAGGGTGATGATCTGCTTTCCCTGGGACCCATGGGCTCCAGATAGAAGACCCCCCGGCCGTATCCTCATGAAAGCTTCTTTCCTAACGCAGGAGTGCACAAGTGATTCATTGTGCCTGACTAGCTGATATTTTGCTCATTGTCACAACTCATCTGCAGCTGCTGATCCTTCTTCCCTGTTGCTTGTCCAAAGCCACCAGCCACTTTCTCCCAGCCAGTTGCTGTATCTCTCCCTGGATGCATTTGTAGACCCCGATGACCCTGTATTCACTTCACGTTCTGCCCCGACAGGAAATACATGTAGGAGCTCTGCAGTCTACAGATCAGAATCACTCCTGGATTTTGGTTTGTGTGTCCTGAACCCAACCAACACTGTTCATCCTAAAATAAATTAGATTGGCATGACAGGAATGTTTCTAATCACAGAATTTGTTTCTAAGGTTAGAGCATTATAGAGCGAGTAACTACAATAATAACATGAATGAATACTTATCTATTAAAGAGTATAATTATCATTTACTCCTTCAACAAAATTTCAAGTGATCCAGCCCCTTGGTAAAAAAAAAAACCCTATGAATAAAATAAAGAACTATTGAGCAGTTGGTGTTCTGGATAGAAAAGCCAACACTAAATGGGTAGTTGTGAAAAGGCAAGGATTGGGCAATTGGCCTTGCAAATAGCTGATTGTTGGGGATCACAGGTCATCTTACCTCTCTCTATGCTTTGGATTTGTTATTTTAAGAAAGAACGACTGGAACTATTTCTGTCTTCCCTTCTAGCTCTAACATTTTGTTCTGTTTCTTTAGCTCATCTTATTAAAAAAAAAAAAAAAAACCACAGAGTAGATTACACTTTAATGCATTTTAGAGGAATGTCTAGATGTTCACCATGTAGTGGGTTCATAATATTTTATAAAAGAAAAGTCATCTCAATAATGGCTGGTGAAAGGCACTGTAGGCACTAATTATTTATGATGGTTATTAATCTTATCATACATCTTGCTGGTCAAATACAGAGGTGGAGAGATATGGCTAGTACAAAAGCAGGCTTTCAAAAAGTCCTTGAGAAACAAGGTGACTTTTCCATTCCCATTTCTTCTTTGAAAAAAAATACTGCATGGGAAGGATTTCAGAAGGTGGTGGTGAGGAAATTGGCTGGGTCATTAAAGGCATATTGACCTACAGAATTCTAAACAAGCTAACTAATAAAATTAGTGGTATTGTTCTTTTATTATTAAGGAAAAGTACTCATGAAAGTCACTCCAATGATTTATTTTAAAAAGTTGAGCTGTAGTTTAAAAAAACTACATGTCCCCCCTAAATGTAAAGAAAACAAGGAGGTATTATAACAAAACTTCTAGAAATACGTATAAATCATTGACACTTCTACCATTAACATGATTTTAAACTTCTCCTTCCTTACTGTGCTTTACTGGGTTGAGCATTTGTCATTTGGAGATTCCCAGCAGTAAAACTTACCTGCAGCTTGTCAAAAATATATCTTTTCTTAGAATCAGAAATCATATAATGTGTATATAACAAAGAATATGCATATTTTATATGTTCCACGGCTCATGTTTATCAGGATGTCTTATCTAACTTAGGTGAGTAAATATCACTAGGACCAGAAAGGAGGTTGAAGGGAGAACATTGCAATGAGTAAAGGGCAAGACAGACAAGATAATAGATTTACAATGAAGTGATGTGGCTGAGGAGAACAGAGACAGCTGCGGTGGAGGTCTTCGAAGTCTCTGCTTGGAAAACAGTCCTTCAGCTCCATCTGCCTGCTCACTCTTTCATTTGTGTGTTTATTTGTTTATTCACCAGATATTTCATGAAAACTCACTTTGTGCTAGGCACGGTGCTAGGCATGAATAAAACCGATATTGTTCCTGCCCTTGTAGAGCTCATTCTGTTATGTTATTGTTCTAGTGGCCACTAATGTCTTAAATAAAAAAATTAATGAAGCAGGTCTGGGATTTCCAAAATGCTCTTCTAATTTAACATATCCCAAGCACTGAAAAAAAACAGGTGAATAAAAGCAAACAGGAGCACCTCCTAGGTGTTCCTCTTGGGGATGTAGAATCTTGTAGAGGAAAATGACTGCCTTTCCCAAAGCTGACCTGGGAAAGTTCACTACGTTTTCATTGTGATGAACACGTGGTGACTGTGCTCATGTCGGAGAGTCTGGGTGAGTGTGTCCATGCTAGGGGAGGACAAAAGGAGAGGGTGAAAGTGACAGAGAAACCAAAGTAACAGCACGTAAACAAGTACAAATTAGGCCATGAGCCACAACAGCCAAAACATCTTCCAACTGATTGCAAAGGCTTTCCTCTGTTTCTCTTAAGAATTAGCCAGGTCGCTTGTCATTGTTTTTCTGACCTCTTCCCTGTGTTGCTGATTGCTTGACACAGTGGGTCTAATTATCTCCAGACTCCCAGCTTGTTTTGATGGAGAGGCATGTTTATCTGTATAAGCAGACAGACTTTTCTATCCCCTTGGTCCTAAAGTTTTTCTTTAGGAAAACTAGGGATGAAACTGACAGCTGTTAATGGTTGAACTGGAATGTAAACTTTTTATTTCTAGCTTGTTTGTGACAAGAAATGAACATTTCTTCTCCTTCCTTACTGTGCTTTACTGCATTGAGCATTTGTCATTTGGAGATTCCTAGCAGTATTTGACTTTCCTGTGAGAATGGCCTCTCTCCGCTGGTCGTTGGCTTTGGACTGACAGTAAATTCAGTTACCTAGCCTCTGCCAAATAACCTAAGGTAGTGCAGACCCTATCCAGACAAAGGACTACACAGCGTTGAACTTGGCTCATCAACAACTGAATCCTGGGTCTTTGAATCTCAAACAGGTAACATAAGAAAAAAAGAAACAACTGAAGTTCTGGTTATCTGTTTTTTAATTTATTCCACAAGTATTTATTAAGGCTCAGCTTTGCGACAGACACTGTTCTGGATGCTTGTATGACAGTGATAAGCAGGAGAAAGCTGCTGCTCTCATGAATTTCATACTTTAGTTGGTAGAGGGCAATCAAACAAATGCAGAAGATAATTACAGACAGAGACAAGTGCTATCGAGAAAATAAAACAATGTCATCAAAGGTGACATAGAGCAGAGATATGAAGGATGAGAAGGAACCAGCTTTGGGCTCCTGCAGGGAAAAGTGTTGCAGCCAGTGATTCAGCCCTGTTGTCACGGAAACATGCTCAAGCAGCACCATACAAAGACCAGCAAACCTCTCTTGACCTCCTCTCTTTCTGTGCTCGCTCTCGAGAAAAATTCTTCAGAAGAATAGCTTATTTTTCCATTCCCTCTTCAATCTTCTCCAATCGAATATTCATAGTCTCTTCCGAAACAGCTTTCATTTGGTCACCACCAGCTTGTCTTTAAACAGCAGCATTCTGATCTAACTTTTCCTGTTGTGAGTCTTACTTCTTAGTCTCTGGAGTGGTCTTGGCTTCTGCTCATTTCTAAACCTAACTCAACCTTCTCTTGATTCCATGAGCCCCAGTATGTGAACAATCAATTCCTTTTTTCTTTTCTAGCCAGAATTGCTTCCTATTACTTCCTACCAATAAATGCCTAGTTCACACACTTATATTTTTCATATTATTGTTGATTTTGACCCAGGAAACAACTGTTCAACTTACAGCACATTCTTTATTCATTCTTTTCCTTTATACACTGTTTTCCTTAAAATTTTACTACTGTATTGGTGAGTACCTGTTTATGGTTTTCCTAGGATTGATTTATTTTTCTTTATAACATTTACTTCTTGAGAGTAAATCACTTATTTGAAAACATTTATCATTGTCTCATATCACAATGCAAGCCATTAGAGATAGGCATAGTTCAAAATAGTCATGGTTTCAAGACATATTACTGGTATCCTTATCAAGAAATGTCTTCTAGGTTGTTTCTGCTGTCAATATGTTTTAAATATTCTTCATGTATTTTCTAATGCTTTGCTAGTCTAGGTTCTATGGAATCCATGTTCTTTATATCCCTAGTTATGTCTCTAATAACACTTCTTAAAAATTTATTAGCTGTAAAATTAAATATGATTTATCTAAATATTTCATAAAAAACCATTTTCATATACTTTCCATAAAGAATCTAGTCTCAAGTAAGTAGAAACAAACAAGACAGTAGGGAATCCTAAGAAGACATTTGTTGAAAATCATCTTCCAGGATTTTCTCATGGCTTGCTGTCAAATAGATGAAGATGTTTTGATGGCTATTGTATTGTGAAGGATACTTTCAGCTACAAGTAACAGAAACGGCGACTAATTGTGGTTAACTCATAAGGGAATTTGCTGGCTCATATGACTAGGAAGTCCAGAAGTTAAAGGTACTTCAAGGTTAATCATTGATATTATCAGCATGTGGTATCTTTTTATAAACAGTATGACTTCGTCTGAGGGCTGGCTTTCCTTGAGGGCATGGAATGGCTGCCAGCAGAACTGGGCTGCAGATGACTTTGTTCATGGCCAGAGATACAGACTTGTTTTCCATGACCTTAGAACAGAAGCTCTATGTTTTATTCTAATTGACTGAAAGAGAGTTGCTTTCCATGACCTGGGAACAGAAGTCCTATGTTTTATTCTAATTGACTGATCCT